TGACCTTTTTGTATATACGGGTTGCTTTTTTTAATAGAGTGATCTCGTGATCCGTTCATGTACAGAGGAAAAAATATAATTTGAAATATAAAATTAGAATGTGATCCTAATATTTATTAAAAATACAGACAGACTAAGTATCAAAATGTATAGAAGTTAATAGAAACAAAATAAATATAAAAATTAGAAACAAATTTTATAATAAGATCAAACAATGTAAAAGTGAAAATGTAAAGATCTATTAAAAACACGTCGCGATTGATCGATAAATAGCGATCGACTGCTTGGGCACACCTAGTTAAGATAGAGCACTAAAGATGTAGGTATTCTCACGTTTATAGTGCCTTAGTTAAGACTGTGAGCTAATTTCTGATTTTTGGTGTGTTCATTATGCAAGGGCGCAACAATTATTAACATAATAATATTAATAGTAATATATATAAAATCTGTCATTGTCTTTGTTTTTTAAATTTGTGTATTTCTTCATAGCCCAAGCATAGCGTTATTTTTTATATTGTTGTTTGAATCTCCAAATGTTTCGCTATGATGTGGATGACTTCTAATGCGGGTGGACTTTTAATGCATATTTCAATGTTTTCATTGATTTATGCAGAACAGACTTTGACAACGTTCTACGTTCAAGTAGCACAGCCTGCAATAACAATAATTTTGACAACGCAAATAATTTGGAATAGCTAAAAAAATTATCATATTTCTGACATGTCCAGTTATTCTATAATTTAATTTTATTTAACATATATCGATTTCACCATTTTCTGCAAAGTATTTTCTTTAAACATTTCATTTCATAACTATCTTTGAATCAATAGTGCGACATATTTCACATTTATTATAACATAGTGCATAATTGATACAGTTTCATTAATGGAATGGAATTTTGAAAGAAATTATATATTTTATTTATTTAATTTCTATTTAATCTAAAATAGAAATTTGCTATAATTTTCGATTAATTTTCAATATTTTTTTTTTGTTGATCTTACAATATTAAATTAGGAAGTCGAAAGCGACAAATGTTTGATATGTAGAAAATATGTAAAATATGATAAAAAGGTATATTCATTATTGTACGAGTTACTGAAAGATTACAATTAATAAAATTGATTTTGAATTAAAAAAAATTTTGGTTTAACACTATTATAATTTATACTTAAAGAATATAAGTAATAAATTTAGTAACAATTTTAAAATAATTACGCACTCTTTAAAAATAATAATATTATATATCTATTTATAAAAATGCAACAAAAAAATCAATTACTGGTAATAAGTATATTTCGAATAGTTTGTTATGCTGTCGAATACTGACAAATTTCGGCACTTAATTTATTTTGTCATATTAAATAATTTGTTATTTTAAGATTGGTTATATTTTAATTCGGAAAATCAATTATAACTTGTTTTTTTTACCATAGCACGCGAAATTGTAAAAACATTTACTTTATTGTTTTCTAATTGATTATTACGAATGCGGGAAACTAAATTTCATTTTTGTGATCCAAGATAATTTAAAAATTATGTAATATCATTTAAATATCAATTTACATTCTTTGTTTTTGATAATTATTAGCAAATAGATATAACAATGAGAAATAACAATGGAGACGTTCACTCGCAATGAAATAAATGGCGTGTAATCTTATGAATCTCTAGAGACGGAGCGTGTTAAACTTACGGAGGCACTCAAGCCGCGCCCAAATTAGCGGATGCCTCGCGAACTATGTGGTCAACCGGAAAAGAGATTAATTCAATTTGCATTTAATCAGCGCGCAATCTCTTGTATGAATATTCAATGCGTGCCCCTCCCTCCCTCCCTCCTTTTTTTACCCCGCGACGTGTCGCTCGTTCCTCCAGGGTCTACAAAACATAGGATCTGTACGCTACATTCATCTACGCGTGTATTTAGCTGCACTGTCGCGTTCATTTACTTTTCCACTCGGTCCGCGCTTTTCTATTCGCGTATGCGCGATCGCGGTCGTGGGTGGGATTATAAATTTGTATTGCGTGACATGAAAGTACAATTTCGGGTTGGTCAAAGGTGCGTGATTGCGCGATGTTTTTGCACGAAGCTTCTCTTTTTATCACACGTGCACAATGCAGTTCATGCAGTTTTGTGACCTCTGTGAAGTTGGCACCCCATTTTTCAAAAAATCAATTTTTTTTTAGAGTTCTAAATGCACCCCAAAGAGTTCTAGAGTTCTCTATAAAATTTATAAATAGTTTCGGCAAATTAGATAAAAAAATCCATTATTGAAAGTATGGGGTGCTAACTTCACAAAACGTTATTACAAAATTGACGATAACAGCTTAATCGTCGGAAATAATTAAAAATATACATTAGAA